ACATAATATTTTTTATAAGATAAATGCAAATTGTGAACTATATTGTGTATTTTGGTTTTCTGCAACGATCATTTATAANTATATACTATTATTTGGAATATGAATTCAAATAAAAAATAATATTAAAGTATGGTGTAATAAAATATCAATACAAATAAATTTAAAATTAAAAAAATTTAATGTAAAATATAAATTAAATAAACTTAATTTTTTAAAATATTTTATTAGCTCTTTTTATAACTAGATTCGTTGATAATAAGTAGAGTAACAAAATGAAAAATTACATATAAAAGATTCAATCTTAAATCAAATAATTATATTTTTAATAATAAAGTTAGAGTTAGTTTAAAAATAATTTTAAAAATATTTATTATAAATATCATTATAACATTTGTATAAAATTAAATTTGATTTTAATTTAAAAAAACAGAATTATTTTATTTAAAAAATTAAACAATATAATAAATATATATACTGAATTGAATATATGAGAATGAAACTTAATTTCGATACTAATACGTGATATTACTATTATCATATTACACAAAATTATTAACTGACACGTGAATAATGTTTTTAAATTACAAAATAAAAAATATAAAACAAAAATGACACATGACATATATAATATTATTACTACATTACTAACAAATGACCAAATTACATTAATACTTTAAAAGTTTAGATTTTGATATTAAAAGACAAAAACATATTTAATATTTAAAACAAATTTAGAAAATGAAATCTTAAAAGATCTACTTTATGTTGAAATATATAAGTATCTTGCATCCATTTCAGGAAAAGTTACATGAGAATGCAAAATATCTTGCATGGTTCGCTGTCGTGGGTCATGTTCTTATATTACAGTACCAAAGTTTTCAAACTCTACGATATGATACGATGATGTCTTATCCTCTTTCCTTGCCTTGTTCTTCTCACACTCATTCTTCCCTCAACACCAACATCGCCATGAACATGGCGACTGCTTCATCTGCATCTGCATCTCTATGCTTTCCTTCACACATCATCAAAAAACCACTGGGATCTTCAAGCCTCCACAAGTCTTTTGCCAAGTCTAATGCATCCACCTCCACCCTCACATGCAAGGCTTCATCATCATCATCATCATCATCATCATCATCGGTGATAGACTTTGACTTGTATGAGCTTCTGGGCATAGACAGCTCGTGTGATCAGTCAGAGGTGAAAGTGGCATATCGCAATCTTCAGAAGCGCTGCCACCCTGACATTGCTGGCCCTTCTGGTCATGACATGGCCATCATACTTAATGAAGCTTATTCCATTCTCTCTGACCCAAATGCACGCCATGCCTATGATAAGGTTTTTTCTCTTCTACAGTTCATGTTGAGGTTAATATATTGTGTCAATAAATCAATTTGATCCGTCTTCTACAATTGAGTCCAAGTTTAGATTCACAAACTGTTCAATCGAAATTTCGAACTGGGTAAGGACATAGTTCCACACGAACATCCTCCTAGCTTCAATTCCCTCAAATTCTAGGATTTCTTCTTTGAGGGAATTCAATAAAGCCAAATCTTTCATTACTCATCTCGTGTTATGACGTTCCTGTCAATTCATCACTTGTGTTTCTATGACTAATTGATCTTTTCTTCTATCCAATTCAAGTTTTAGGAGCAGTTTGGATGAGCAAAGGTTGTTGATTTTTACAACAATTATCATAAAAGTCATAATTTTGTGGTTTTTATAGACAAAAGTTAGAAGAAATTTTTCGAGAAAGCTAAGGAGCTTGTTGATTTTTACAACAATTATCACAAAAGTCATAATTTTGATTGATTAATAGTTTGAGTCAAAGGAAATTAAACTCTTATGGTTGTCTGTTAATCTGAACATACACCAGAAATTTGACTCATTTTGTCTGGTGTTTTTTTCCTTTGAAGTGTTTGTTCAGGAGTTTATCAAAATTGGGGCTTACTCCATTTCTGGTCTTTGATTATAAAATAGTATTTGGGTCGGGAGATGGATACACTGCTTGTCTCATGAGACAAAGAAAAGCAGAAAATCATGAAATACTGCGTTTGAACTGACAGAATGTGTCAGTGAGTCCATGTTTTTGGATAGTGTTTCAATTTGTTTGGGTTGGTTGTTTATTCAAGAAAGTGTTCATGTGGTGCAGGAGCAAGCAAAGAGTTCAGAATTCAAAGGCTTCACTGGCAGACCCATATACTCGGTTTGGTGTGGATCAGAAAGTGAGCAGCGAGCAATATTTGTAGACGAGATCAAATGTGTTGGTTGCCTGAAATGTGCACTGTTAGCTGAAAAGACTTTTGCTGTTGAATCAGTTTATGGAAGAGCAAGAGTTGTTGCTCAGTGGGCTGATTCCCCACAAAAAATTGATGAGGCAATAGAATCTTGCCCTGTCAATTGCATTTCGTAAGTCTGTATGTACTATTCTATATTTGGCTTCATATTTTGGGAATTTTATGTAGTGTTCTACTTCGGTCACCGAGACAAACCATGAGCTCTGATATCATTGTTAGATCTATCGAGAAGGGAGTTCACTGGAAAGATACAAACACCAATGAGATCTAACCATATAAAGGATTGACATCACTCTCTACCCAAAACTTTAAGACAATGGGTTAATGGATCTTTCATCCTTATATAATGCTTTACTTTCTCATTTCTATCCAATGTTGGACTTAGACACACACTTGGATTTCCAACAAATTCACGTAGTCAATCTCAATTATTAGGAAAAGACTTTTGTTGTTTTGTTGTTAATATGGAAAGTATCTTGGTCAGGAGTTTTTAAATCATGATTCTCCCTTTTCCATTTTACATGTGACTAATCATTCTTCTGCTTTATAGAGTTGTTGAGAGGTCCAACCTTGCAGCTTTGGAGTTCTTGATGTCCAAGCAACCACGTGGCAATGTAAGAGTAGGTGCAGCTCATACAGCAGGAGCTCGTGTTGCTAACATATTTGTAGACGTGGAGAAGTTTCAGACTAGATTCCAGGAATCAAAGGAAAAAGCTTCTAAGTATTCTAAGGTTAGTTTGAAATGAGAGAGCAAGAAAAGACATAACAAAATTGTTTTCATTATGCAAAAACTTCCATACTTGCATTCTTAACTCAGTATTCATTCTCCATTATGTGGATTAACTTGAGTACATTTCTCACAGGAAACAGACCTCCAAAGAGAATCAAGAATGTCAGCAATTCAAGCAATAAGATCAATTTCCAATTGGTTATACTGGCAAACACCTAGCTCAACAAGTGGCTCATCAAAATCTGAAAAAAGCATGACAAGAGTTGTCTATAAATTGCCTGAACCAGATATCAGCAAGCTCAGAGACGCAGCTGCAAGGAAGAAAGTCAGAGAAAGGACAAGGACCAAACATCAAGCCCCATTAAATAGTATTCATCCAGAGGATTATTGGACTCCTTCAACTCATGTTCTTCCTTCTTCAACTACAACTACTGCTACTCCAACCCCACCTAAGAAGCCTTCAGTTACCACTAAAGGACAGAAAAACACAAAGGAAAGTGATCATGAATCATATGAGAATCAAAATAGCCCTATTAGATGGGGACTACCAATGGTTACTGCATTGACTGCAGTGGTTACAGTTCATGTACAGACACTTGGGTCAACACATGAGTTGCAAGAACATGTGGGTGGTTCTCTTGCTCTGGATATTGTTAATAGCTCTTGGTTGCAGGGCATGCTGGCAGCAGCTACATGGTACATGATTGGAATGGCAATTACAGAACTTTTGGTCTTAATTGGAAGTAAAAATAGATAGAAGTACATATTAGGTACTTTAAAGTTTAGTAGCAAAGATATAGATACAAGTAATAAGGTGTAAGGTATATAAAATTGCACATGAATCACAGTAGATTATGTATAACAATCTCTCACTCTGTTCAGCACAAGAATTAGGAAATGCTATCCCATTTTCTTTCACTCTGTTATGTATTTTCGAAGAAAAATTGTTATGCTATTTTAAAATTCTAGTACAACATTTACTACTTTTTTAAAAGATTTCTATAGATTATCCTTGATCAACTTGCAAGAACTTCACTACTACCGCACTATTTTGAACCATTTTACTTTCATTCTGGATTCTTTTCTTTTCCAAACAAATCTTGAGTAATAACGGAAGAAAATATTGTTTCTTCAAAATGGCCATAAACGCAGTATTTAATTTACTATGACTTTTATTCACAATAATAAATTAAAACTATTACGGTCTCTTATTTATCTCACGATGTTAAAGGATATATCATATTTTTAGTTGAGCAATTTTACAATTTTAGTAAATAAAAAGATTTAAGTACATATATTATTGTAATAGAATAAAAAATGTAAATACTGTGTTTTCATTAGTTCAAAGTCAATGCAATGGTGTACTTTTTGTTTAAATTAAAATTAATAACTGTCTCGCATATTAAAATTATTTATTAAAATTTTGAAACAATTGAACTGTTCTTCATTCAATTGTATATAGTAGAAAAAAATATCAAAAAGAATTAAATTGTCAATACATATTTATAATAGACAGCCAGTTCAAAATTTAAATTGTTAAAGAATCATAATTAGAAGAATTAAACCCTTTCGGCCTGCTTAAAAATCATTGTTTGAGTGTTAACCAAATGGCATGTATGAAAATTGAAAATGAGTTATTCAAACGACACTAGTGTTTGGCGAAAGACAAAAGACGAATACGATTTCCCAGTGTTTAAAGTTTAACATGGTGTTCACAAATAAGCCGAAATGAATAGAATGTGATAAAAAGACGACAAGAGAAATAAAATAGTATTTTATTCCAGATCAAATTGTGTACTATCAATTGATATGATTTGGGAATACCATCTGAATTCATCCTTGTTAGTTCCCACGGATAATTCTACTAAGATTTCATTCTTGACAAAAAGCCCATGGAAATAATTGATATTGTGGAAAACCTAGGACAAAACTGCAATTGCTGTTGCATACAATTCACAGACCCTCAAGACTAAAGATAAAGCTGCTATAGAAATTGCATTCACAGGGTCCCAATATTGACAAATGCGATTGGGAGATAAATTTCATTACAGGTCCTTCACTATTTTTCAAGTAGGGGCAGAGGCGAGTACATAACTAAACACTGTGAGTGACATTGGACAGACATTTATCAACTTCTGGTGTCATCTACCCTTAACACTGACATATAAAAGTATATTGTGTTTGGGGGAAAAAGTCAATTATTACTCGATGAAAAGTTTATTGTTACAGTTTGCAAGCTAAAGTTCCCATTTTTCCAGATCCAAGCCTGTAGTTTTGCTTATAATTGGATTGTGTTTCAATTGGTTTTCAAAATCCAGGGATGTAAACCAAATACCACTTGACTTCTAGTTGCTATAATTGTAGGCTTTCTGCACACTTCCTCGTGTGCCTATTATAAGCCCAAAAGTTGAATTCAACATATCAACAACCCTGATTAAACTATAGAATGCAAAAACTATATCCAATCTAAATTCAGAATCAATTCCTCTACAGAAAACTAAGCACCTAAAAAACGTTATTCTAGATAATTCAATGTGAAAACAAACACTCATTCAAGACCAAATAATTATTGAAACAACACTATTCAGAAAATGACAAGAGTAATCTCACATCATTAAGGTGGAAGTTCAATCAAATGACATGTTAGCCAAGCCAGACAAAAGAATTGGGTTTGTTAGATAAAAGTCTAATAATAGAAAAGTAGAGACTAGTAACTCTGAACAGTGATATATTTCATTAGAATTAAAACACAAACAATGTTTATAATTACCAACATAAAAATAAATATAATGGAAGGAAAGAGTTTATCGTAGCCTAGGATGAAGAGGCAATGAACTGTCTTTATAATGCGTTTTAAAACAACATAATGTTCTTTTTTGCTGAAACAATCTTGTGGGGAGACAGATTTCCATACCCATGAACACCAATGCTCCAATATTTTAGGAACATAATATTTTTTATAAGATAAATGCAAATTGGTAACTATATTCTGTGTATTTCGCTTTTCTGCAACGATCTATTTATAACTACATAGCAGCCACAAGAAAAAAATACTATAATGTACATGACATTGTTATAGAAACAAAATGTAAATGAAAGAGAGTGGTAGTGGGTGATTTACATAATTATAAAAACAGATTTAAAGCAGACAAATATATTTTTACTTTAAATTTTAAATTAGACATATTTTTTCAAAGGGTTTAGAGTGCATATCAGAACGATCAATCACACAACCACCACATATAAGTAACATGGCAGAATAATTCGTTTGTTTACTTTACAGATCCCCATGAATCAGTAGCGGTATTTGGTGGAGTAATCTTTGGGAGCAATGACAAGACCGCGACCCTTCCTCGCGCCGCGGTAAACGGTCTCGACGATGTCGATGAACTCCTGCTTGTCCTTGAGAGCCCAATTGATCTTGTTGTTGTTGCCAGTGCCAAGATCGATCATGATGTGCTTGTTCCTGAAGAAGAACATGACCGTTGAAGGATCGTAGAGCTCGTACATGGTGTTGAAATCCGGCACCTCCGTTATGTCCACCAGGTATATCACCGCGAAGTTCTTTATCGTCTCCGCCACCGACGCCAACACCTCATCCATCTATTCTCCCAATTTAATCACAAATAATTGCAATTCAAATCGAAACCAGCACAGTTCACAATATGCAGTTTAATCAGTTTGAAATTCACAATTCAAAACATGAAATTCATTATTTAAAGCACGAAACTCAAACTCACGACATGAAATTGAAATTGAAATTGAGAATTACCTGCATGCAAGTTTCGTCCCAATCGTGACCGAATCGGATAATGACGAGACGCTCTTCATCGGCGAGGATTGCTTGATCGACGGCCCAGCCGGAGTGCAAGTGAGGCAACAGATACGACATCTTCTTCTTCTTCTTGATTTCTTGGAACCCTAATTTGAGAATCACTCTCAGCTTTCGACTCAAATGCAACAGTGGTTGGTTTTGGTTGGGACTGTAATTTTTATTCCTTCATAGTAGGTGGGTACGTTGGGCTTGAACTGATAGGTGCAGAAAGCAAATTGATGAGCCCAACTATCATTGCAAGGTCATCCAATTTCGTTTAGCTGACAAAAACTTTTAATGTTCATAAAATTTAGGACTTGTTTATTTAAGGTTTTACTTTATTAAATAACAACTTTTTTTTTTCTTTATATGCTTGTTGTTATAGACTTTCAAAATAATTAAAATTCGAAACGAATCATAAACTCAATTTCTGATTATAATCAAAAGTTATTTGAAACAGTTATTCATTAAACTAATTACTTATTATACCTTAAGTTCTAATCGTGACCGCATTAATTATAATAAACAAAACAATCTTTATATCTCATATTTAATTATTTTTACTCATTTTTAATATTTTTATTTATTTTTTCTTTTATAATGATTGACTTTTAATTTCAAGGAAGTAAAACCTTTCATTTGATTTGTAATATAAAAACCTTATTACCAGTATTTACAAATAAACCTTAAAAAGAAATAGAAAATTAGCTACACAAATTTTAAAATTGAAAAAGTAAAAGTTCATACCGGTATCGATTTTAAACAAACTAGACAGCAGATTGCTTAATCCAATTCACTGTGTTTTCCATACCATTGACTTTTACAACGGATCAAAATCAATAAAAGAATCGACCGTTTTACAGTTGATGCTAGAGAGAATAGAACCAAAATACAAAATGGGAAGAGATCAATTTACAAAAATGCTCCAGGCGGAAAATCTGTATATAGGCCCAAAACTAAGCAAAAACGAAACTCACTACTTATGATCATGATAAAGTGGGCTTTCATTTACTCCAACTTTTGTATATAGATTAGCCACTACCTAATATCATTTGGTACAACATTTTGTCAAATGTCTTCTATTCATATCTAGTATTGGGAAACAATAAAGTTTACCTGCCTACAAAAATCTACTGGGACGTTTTCGTTCCCTCCTTGGCCGGTTTTGCACGTGGGAAGTAAAAAGCTCATCATCCTTTTCTTCCACAATGGTATCCATTGGTTTATCAACACAAACATGTAAAACAGTCTCCATCGCTTCAACATGATAAGACATTGACCCACTGTCATCAGATATGATGGTTGGCTTGCTTGCACAATGTTCTTCATTTAGTAATGCAGATCCTGTTTTCAATTTGGAAGAGCATACGTGATGTCCTTTAGGTTGACACTTTTTCTTTGGTTTGTTTCCTAGAAAGGATGCAAGGGTCATATGGTCGTCGTTATCATCACCAGTCAAAGCATTTGTATCCTCTCGGTTTCTAACTCGTCCATCAGAAACAATATTCGGCGGCACAAACAAATTTATAGTTCCAACAGTATCACATGACTCGGACGAGCCGCTTTGGTCATGAGATGGATTTTGACTTTCAACCTGCTCAGGAACATCTGTAATCCTAGAGGAGAAGGAAGTCTGACTCAATTTTTTGGTAAATCTAGATAATATCTCATTTGATTTGTTGCGTATNAATGTTCTTCATTTAGTAATGCAGATCCTGTTTTCAATTTGGAAGAGCATACGTGATGTCCTTTAGGTTGACACTTTTTCTTTGGTTTGTTTCCTAGAAAGGATGCAAGGGTCATATGGTCGTCGTTATCATCACCAGTCAAAGCATTTGTATCCTCTCGGTTTCTAACTCGTCCATCAGAAACAATATTCGGCGGCACAAACAAATTTATAGTTCCAACAGTATCACATGAATCAGACGAGCCGCTTTGGTCATGAGATGGATTTTGACTTTCAACCTGCTCAGGAACATCTGTAATCCTAGAGGAGAAGGAAGTCTGACTCAATTTTTTGGTAAATCTAGATAATATCTCATTTGATTTGTTGCGTATAAAAGACGAAAGGGTCATGCTGTCCCAATCTTGATTTTCCGAATTCGCAATACAGGTAGATTGGTTTTCTGAACCCTCAATGCAAGTCTCGACCTTGTCACTACAAGATATATCCACTAATTCCTGGGGACAAATTTTACTTCTTTTTGCGTGCCTTTTGGATCTCGTGTTCTTCTTGGGAAGATCGCTGCATGCAGATTCTGCGTAGAACTCATCATCGTTGTATACTTCTGTATCTTGTACTTCTTTGGCACAACGTCGAGTTCTTTTTGCACGTTTCTTAGAGCTTGTTTTCTTGGAAACATTGCTGCATGCAATGATCAAGAATTAGAAAACAAAGGTATACCAGAATCAATATTAAATTTCAAATTATACGACCAGCATATTATACTGAAATAGTAATCCCAAGAATGGTGGCATCACAGGTGTAAAATGTAAAGAAACAAGGGGAAAATGAAAGGATAGAGGGGAGTACCTTGACTTGCGCTTCTTGGGAAGTTTTGAAGCACCAATATCGGATTTTGGAGCTAACGCAATTAAAGGCATAAAATCATCAAGTGTAATGGTTGGCCGTTCAGATTCTCGATCAACGAAGTTACAACTAATGATAGACCTTTGCTTCTTTCTTGCTTCTTGAAGCAAAGGAACTTGTTCAGGACATAACACCTTCCATCTCCTGTTCAATGAAAAGAATAGGTGTAAGACTATAGAAATTGAGATTTTTAGATTTTAATCATTGAACTTAATTTCAACTCATACTTTCGGCACTGTGAATCAGTACGGGGAGGCACTTCTTCAGCAATCTTAGACCAACAATATCCATGCTTGGCAATTGCAGCTTCTAGTCTTAAATCCTCCTCCTCAGTCCATCCACCCCATTTCAAAGAAGGATCCAGACTATTGAGGTATCTGTCATAAGAAAGTTCAAGAACTTCAACAAACTAAGACCATAAAAAACTACGTCCCCAAAA